CTCTCCCCACCCTCCCCCTCCTCCCTTTCTCTTTCTGTTATGTTTGGTATGAGTTTTTTTGTTGGTCATGATAGTCAGTTTGTTGTGTTTGTCAAGCAAAAAAAGCATATTTAGTTTATCACGCTAATTGTTTAATCCTTTCTGCAATGTATTTTCTCTATTTATGTCCCTAACTTTTTTTCATCCCTCTCTCTCTCTCTATATCTCTCTCTCTCTCTCTCTCTCTCTCCGTCAATGTGGTGTATCAGGTTCACAGCGCGGTATTGGGGCCGTTGTCATTCATCCTATCATATTCTCTGATGCAAACAGGGAACAGCAACTTTTACTGCAGCACATGCACACGCATGGGTACATCCACAAAAACAGTTTACAGTCCTTCCTGTTCTTTGAAGCACAGTCGCTCAGTTACTTTTTAAATGAATGTAAGCTTCAACTCTTTACTCTGAATTACACAAACACACACATCTCCACTGTGTCCAGCTCTCACGTGGACGGGGGGATCGAAGATCCTGACAACAGTTCCCACCCTGTCTCGCTCTTAGTTAGTAAACCACTGGCTGCTCACATCAAAACGCCCTCCATCCATTTTTCACTTCCCAGTGATTACTGTAAAAATGATTGAAGCTTCCTCTGTCTATTCCATAATCAGGCACATAAGCATATGTGTGTATGCACTGGCAGTGCAGGTAAACACACACACACACACACACACTCTTCACTGTAGAAATGGTGTAATCTTTTCAGCAGACCAACACTGCCCTCTACAGGCTGACTGTCAAAGGTCATTTGTAACACACATAGAAACATCAGAGGTGTTTTTGCGTGTTGTGTCCATCTGCACACGCCCGTTGAAGGAGTAGTATTAACGTTTGTTTTGGTTTTATATTTGAAATATCATGCGACAAAGCAGTTGGAGAACGAGAGATCTTAGTGTTTTGGCCTTGTAGTTTTAAGTTTACGACTGTGCTTCTTTCATAGAGGGCTGAACGGATAAACGTGTTCTTTGCTTCCTGAACTGAATTCAGTCATTAATAAGCATGGGAATGGCTTTAAAGTATTTTCTATATTATGTTGGTCCACATAGACACTCTCTGAAGCCATTGCCACATGTCCTCCTTGCCCTATAAAGCTGTCCACCCGGGTTCTGTGTCAAATATTACAAATGTCCGTCCAATTCCCCGTAGGGTCACTCTGTCTGTCTTAATGTTGGAGAACGCAGTGCAGAGCTACTGCTTTATTCAGTGTTGCAACAAATGACATCACCGGCAGATTTCGTCTACTATACTGGAGTGAACACACGCATATAAACACGCTTAGTTGCACATTTAAATAGTGTAACAGAGCCTTACGCTTCAATCCTAGTACCTTACTATGGCTGGCAGATTTCCTGTATTTAACTCAAACACAGAGCAACAATGTGTGAACATTTGCACAAACACACACACACACACACACGTTGATCAGAGGTTGTGTTAAGCGTGGCAGGCTTCGAGGTATGTTAAGCAGGCTAAGAAGTAGAAAGAGACGTGAGGAAATCACGGTGAAGGTCCCCGCGCTCTGTGTGTGTGTGTGCGTGTGCGCGCGTGTTGATGCACGCGTTCTCTGCCGTACGTAGACAACATAGGATGGATCCCGGTATGCTCATAGCAGCAAGTGTCCCTCTGGCTGTCAGTGACCAAATACATCCTGCTGGACGCGTCAATAGACCATTTTGATTATTAAGACTTAAAATATGTTCTAGAAAAAGTGAATTTGGTGATTTATTTTTGTGTGTGATATCTTGCTTATAGTGGTTAAGAGTGAGGAACTATTTATTTTTCCTTCTTAGAGGGAGAGTCATTAAATAGAACAAATCAAATTTAAACAACAAACTCTCTCAGTATTATTTGTTCTTCGGGAGTATGCTATTAAAAAAAGTATGCATTACTTTTTTCCTATATTAAAATGTAATGTATGTAAGCTTTCAATCATTATTGTTGTCTAATATGTTTTACCGCACCTAAAAAAAAAGAGCAATTTTAGATTAAGAATTCCACACACTGTATCATGCAGCGCCGATCTGCATTCATCCTTTTGAAATAGCGTCGTTTTGGTTCTTTCATTTTCCCTTCAATTTGATTTGTAAGCTGTTGTACGCTGTCAGCTAAGTGAATGACCGTAAAACACCCAGTCAACCTCCATGACAACATTAAGGATTTGCATCCATCCATTAATCCCCATCCATCCACCGTATATCAAGAACCGGGCAGAAAATATATCCCAAGGAGACAAACGTTTTCAATCACCAGAAAGTGCTTTAAACTCAAGGATAACTTTGTTTAGCTTCATGTAGAATTTTCCTCAACTTCCAGTATTTAAATCATCCAATAAAAGGGTTCAATATAGCACCAAAAAAACAGATTTTCAGTGGTTGCAGTTAAAGAGCCGCAGTGAGATTTCTTTTAAGCTGCATAGTGGGTGCCTATAAATAAATCATGTCTGGACGCTGTAGCCTAAACGCATACCCAGGTATCATAATTATCATAGATCAAAAGCTGATGACATTACAGCGTTGGACCGGTCCTATCCCATGTCAGTTCTGCGGCTGCCCATCTTTACGTTGTTTCATTATTGAGTTATGGCATGCATAATTTAACACCGACAGATATGGATCCATCCGTTGAGAGAGTGTGGAAAGAACAGAGGGAGGGAGAGTGAAATGGAGAGAGAGTGATAGAGGAAGCTTGTGATACGGGCTCGGCCAGCTTTGCTCGCTCTCTTACTTTTTTGCCCAGTTTTCATTTTGTTGTTAGTCTTTCCTCTTTCTGGCCTTTACACCATTCACCACTCATGTGCATCTAATTGTAAAAAAAAAAAAGCATGAGTATGATTTTCTATCCTTTGTGTACTTATAAGTCTGAGATACTTCCTTCTTTAAGCTTTTCTATATCAAATGTATACCTGTCTGTGTGCTACAGGTTTGCAGCCGTACACAGACTACAGTTTTGTGCTGGTGGCCTGCACAGCTGTTGGATGTGGAGCAAGCTTACCTTCCACAGGACGCACAATGCAAGCCTCCCCTGCTGGTACACACACACACACACATACACACATGTACCATTGAAGTACTGTACAAATGATTTGTGTTTGTATTTTTGCCTGTTGACAAAAACAATTATATGGGATTATTTTTAAGGCTTGTTTAAATTTAACCAAATGATTAAATTGATTTTCATTTCGAAAAATACTTTAACCAACCAACCAACCAAATCTGTTGAATTTTCTGGATACTTTCTTCATGTGCCTTTGTCTAAATCGTCCTTACTTAATCTTTTACATTTCTCCTCCTACTGCTCTCCTCTCTCTCCCCTCTCTCTCTCTCTCTCTCCTCACTGTTTACTACAGTGGAGCTTCCTTTTGTTGACTTGCCTAAATGTTGTTGTGCATCTTTATTTATTAAACTTCAATCAGAAGGATTTCATCCTTTCTTCCTTCACTTCCCTTTCTTGTTCGCTTTTGTCTCTTTTGCTCCAGCGCCTCTCATTCTTCTCTGGTCTCCCTTGATTTTTTCTTTCCACATCTTTTTTTAATGTTTGTCTGTCTGTTTATTTAGTCATCTCCTTTTTGTATTTTCTTACGTACCCATTGAAACATATTGACTATTCTCTCCTCCAAGGTTTCAATATTTTTGCTATTGTTTTTCAACTGAATATCATTTATTTCCTCTTGGGCGGCTTTTCAACACTTTGTTATTCAAATATTGTCTTACTTATGACACCTCTTTTATTATTTTTTATAATTTATCTGTATATCTTTTGTCCCCTCTTTGCCCCCTAGCCCCAACCCTTTTGCTTTGTCTTAATGGTTACAATATTATTTAATATCATCTAAAATGCATTCATCTGTGTGATTAGAATCAACATACCTGATAGATATTTACGTTTATATATTAATTAACCAATTTGATTTATGTTAAATATTAATGAAACTCTCCTCCATAGACAGTTTTAGACTATGTTTGTCCATTTGATTTAAAATAATTTAATTACATATTAATTGCTTTCTGCCTGATTAATGTAATTTTCTTCTTGTTTCATAACATGACCGAACGTACGCCATTGTAATATTTTAGCAATACTTCAATTAATCTATTATCTGCATTCACATTCAAATAATTAGTCTCAGTTTACAGTAAACTAAATATTCATTCAACCTGACCACAGTTAAATCTCAAACAAGCTTTCAGATTTGCTGTTGCTAATTTGATAACAGAAGAAGCTCCCGGTTGAGTCCACGTTCAGTTTGTCTGGAATGAAGAAAAGGGACGACCGGTATATATCAATGATAGGTGCTAGTTAATGTTGGTAAATACTCACTTCCATGTCTTCTCTCCCCCTCTGTGCTTCTCAGGAGTATGGTCAAGCCCCAGACATGTGGTAATAAACACATCTGCGGTTGAGCTGTACTGGGATCAGCCGCTCCAGCCTAATGGACACATCTCCCAGTACAGACTGAACAGAGACGGCGACACTATTTTTACGGGAGACCACCGTGAGCAGAATTATACTGACACTGGACTCCTGCCAAACCGCAGGTGGAGAGCGATCACTCGCACACTTCCCACACGAATGAATGTTAACGTGTTTGAGATTAAATGAGTGCATGTATGCAGAAGTCCCACATGCTTAAACAGGCTTCACCTGTAGCTTCAGAATTAATCATTAATTCCAATGTTTTCCCATTTGAGTGTGTGGGTGTTTATATTGGGGTCAACCTATTGTCCCATCCATGTCTCTCTCTCTCTCTTAGGACTGCGCTCTGTATATGTCTGTTTGTGTCATTTAATAAGCAAATATTTGACATGCCCATGACAGATGCAAACTCAGGCACACACGTTAAAACACAAATCAGATTGGGCTTTTGCTTACAGACCGCATTGAGGCGGAGGTTTTATTTATTTAATTTAACCTTTATTAATCCATGTCTGTTTAATTATGAGAGTGTAAAATTATTCCCCCCTTTCCGTCTCTCCTGTTTCGGCCTTTCTCTCCTTGGCCTACTCTCTCCAGAGGGTCTTTCTCCTTCCTCCAAATAGAATTCTTAGGATAACACCCTGCACTACTTCAATGGAAGAAGATAGGACTGTATGTGTGTGTGTGTGACGTTTCATTTTCCTTAATTCCAGATAGTCTGCCAGAAGGCATTCCCTTCACATCTCATGGCTTGTCTCACCTCCTGTTCACTTTTCCAGCCTCTCACCCTCCCGTCCTTTCCCTCTTACCTCCTTCCCTTCCTCCTTCCCTTCTTTTCCCAATTTAGCACTGCACCAAGAATTACACAGGGAGCACCGGCCCCATTATCCGGGCAGTCTTTTGCGTTTTCGCCGGGCACGCGAGTTTGTGTACCCACGCATGGCTGTCTGTGTGCGCAAGTGTCTGTGCGTGAGACCGCTCAAAGTGGCCATTGATTATTTATGACAATGTTGATTAGCTGTCACTTTGCTTCGGTAGCCCAGGAAGTGTCTAAGATGACGAGAGAATTAACCTATTCCCTCTGGCTGGCCCCGCAGGACACACACACACACACACAACCACATCCAAACAGATGCAAATGCCCCTCTCACCCATTTCCTACCACACACACCATTTCATTTTTGATATCCCAAGGCGGTGTTTACATTTAAGTAAATATCTTCCAGTGATGAAGTGTTTAAATTCATTCTCCCCCAGAAACCTTCTGCCATGATAAAAGGTCTCCCTCTTCTTCTCAAGGTGTCTCGTTCTCTCTCCTCTCCACAGCAAGTGTTTCTCAGTGAGGTGCATTTATTTAGGGTGTTTTGTGTGTCTACGTATGAAAGAAATATACGGGTAGTTTCAATACCTTTTCCTGAATGCGTTTCAACTCACAACAATGGTGCTAATGGCCTGCTGTTTAAAACGCTCTGCACATGAACAATAACCCAACACTGCCGCCTATCAATGCATGTGTGCTGGACTTTATAGCAAATTAAAGGCTTTTAATGTTAAATGGTGGCCCACTTACAGAGCTAATGTAGGCTTTAGCTCCAGCCAGCCACCCGCTCTTAAAAGGGAAATCTATCTTATGATGTCAAGGGCGAGAGAGGTAGCGAGACAGATGCAAAAGAGAGAGATGTATGACGGAGAAAGATAAAAAAATGCACCTTGCAAGTGCCGTGACCATATGCGTTTACACACATGGACTAGAAGGAAAAACAATTCTGGTAATCTATGTCTCAGACTGATCTAAATAGTTTTCCCTCTGTTTTTCAGGTAAAAAATCAACCAAGTTGTTCTTAATGCATTTTGTGTCGTTTCTGCAATGCAAAAAAATGTACGCAAATCAGTAAAAAATAATAATCAATATATAACATCGCAGCTTCATAAATACATTTATCAGATACAATTTTTCTGTTTCTGCTGTTCAGAATCTTTCAAGTACCTAAAAACTGCAGAAACTAACTTGTTTTGCTGAGTTAGTTAGGACTTTTTTTTCTCCTTCACAAGATGCACAGCATTGCTGAGTGTACGCATTCTCTAACCATATAAGACCACTGTCACATGCAGCTGTTAGGCTTGATCAGATTTGGTTCTCATGAGGAGCATTTGCTGCCATAATTAACTCTTCACAGTGTGACAATCTACCCTCAAAACAACATAAACATTGGTCTGCGATTCTTCTAGTTTGAGAGCCCATCAACATCCAGACCTGCGGCTTTCCTGCTTGATGTAGCTGGCTGGAATAGTATATCAAAATAATAATGTTGGATTTTAAAAAGCCAATTTGAAATCAGTAATATTATTGATATTTTTGCATTTATTCCGAATGTATTGATAACATTGTGTTTCTTTTGTGTGAAAATGTCCCGTTGCCGTTCTGCAGATTCTTTCCATCTCCCTTGATCCCTCCCTGATTTCGCCGTGACCCTTGCATTTGCTATCTGCTAAGTCTTTCCCTGCCATCTCTTCAGGTACGTGTACGAGCTGCAGGCCAGCACAGGCGGTGGGACCGGTGTGAGTGACAAATATGTAATACAAACGCCAGTCTCGTGCCCCACTGGGATCCAACCTCCCCATAACGTGACCGTGTTGGCCCCGAACTCCATCTTTCTTGCCTGGACCACTCCTGGTGAGTCTAAATAGATAATAGAAATTATTTTTTATTTGAGTATTTAGTTTGAATCACAATTATGGATTAGACACTGTGTTCTTCTTCTGAAATGAGGAGATAGAGAGTTGGGGTCAGACTGAAATGAAATCCCAGAGCATTTTTCCATTCACCTTCTGGCCTTTCAAGACCTGGACACACACATACCGAGGTTTACACGGACACACACTCACGCCTGAGTTTCATGCTTATGGGGCAGTGATTGTCTGCCCTAACCCATCTATCATTGACTATTACTCTCTCATTAGGCTGGTTTCCTATCTCAGAAACAGCTTATAGGGCCAACTAGCAAAGACACTTCACTCTGTTGTGTGTGTGTGTGTGTGTGTGTGTGTGTGTGTGTGTGTGTGTGTGTGTGTGTGTGTGTGTGTGTGTGTGTGTGTGTGTGTGTGTGTGTGTGTGTGAGAGAGAGTTTTGTTTCTGAATATTTGTGTCTGTGTTTATGCATGCCTCTTTATACTTGTGTGCGTGTGCACATCACTGTGGAGACATTTCCATAGGCAGGCCTATTGTATTGTCATTACAGGTTGATTTTAAAGGTGAGGAAATATCGGCTGGGTTCTCACGCTTGGTTAACTCTCTGAGCCCAGAGTCTGGAGTGTTTTCGCACGTGTGCCAGACTCCCTTGAAAGTGTGACTGTTGGTGTGTACGTACATGCACATGTTTGTGTCTTCATATGCATACATTGACTGGCAAGGCACTGACGTATGGCTATTTAAAAGACATTTTACTCTCGGATCAAGTCCTCCATCACTGTGTGTGTGTGTGTGTGTATATGTGTGTGTGTGTGTGTGTGTGTGTGTGTGTGTGTGTGTGGGGGGGGGAGTGCGAGAGCACTTTATTTGTGTGCATGCAACTATGCAGTATGTGTGTCCCTCACAGGTATGTGTGCGTGCACATTTGTAATTGTGTGCATCATGTGTGCGAAATAGGAGATGGCAGAGTAGCTGATTCGTTATAAATAATAAAACTTAAATATTGCAGTGACAATTAAACATCTATCGCAGAGCAAAATGAGAGAGATGCATCATGATCTGTGTGCGTGCATTAGTGCGTGTGAGTGTGCTCGCGGAAGTCAGAGGTGTGTGTATGTGTTTAAGTGTATGTGTGCACATGTGAGTTGGGGGGTGAATAATTGAAGTCTTTCATTTGTCTGGTAATCAGTTCGTTCTCGAGATATCCAGAGTTCATGAATGTTGAATAACCCATCACAATACAGTTGGCCTGAATTATGGAAAAACCTCCGGTGAGAATATTAACAAAGTCTCGGCGCGTGTGTGTGTATATGTGTGGGTGTCTCTGTATGTATTCAGTTTTAAGACAAAAGTATGGGTACCTTGTGATGCGATTTTAGGAAATCATATATTTTACAGACAAACTACTTCCACTCATTACGTTTATTCATATCCAACATTTGAATTAACACATAACATAATTAAATACAAACATCTCTCCTAACTACTTTATAGAATACAGGTTTTTATGAAGTTACCTATGATATAAAAAATAAAAAGTGTACTGGCAGTATAATGCATGTAGAGACACTTCCTTGAGTGAGTCAATAAGTGGAATAAATGTTGTATTGTGAGTCAACTGTTGCAAACCTTTTGCAATTTGAATTGGATGTTAGAATATCTAGTTTTTAAACATTTCCGGGCATCAAGGTGACTGGAGGTCGTTTAAGTGTGAGACTGTACTCATCCATACTTATACACTGTCAACTTTATTGTTGCAAAACAAAAGTAATATATTTACTGCAACTTACCTAACAGTGTAAGATGTTTAAAAGTTGTAGCACACTTGGAATCGATGTAGTAAAGCTAAAAACACAGATAACGTCTTTCTCTTCTTTCTTTTTTTTACAGCTCAGCTCAACAGCAGCGAGCCCGTAAACTACATGGTCCTGTTAAATCCAGAAAGTGACGGAGCCATATTGCGACCTGCTGGCCAAGATCGGCAGCTCACTGTGACGGGTCTGGAGCCATTCACCGCCTACCACATCAGAGTGCAGGCCTGTCAAACTGGTAAGTATTCAATGGTACTCACTTCAGTTTGAAAGATTTACTATCCTTACCACAAATAGCCGTAAGGAACTCAAGTTTTGAAAATTGTGGAAAAGAATGAGTTCTGCGCGTGCGTCGTAAAGTTCAGAGGCTCATTGGAGGATGGATTCTGAAATCGAAACGTAAAAACGGATCAGCCGCGGTGATTGTTGAATGCACAGAAAGACATTCGTGTGTTCTGTGTATATATTTTCCTGTTCTTTTCCCCATGGAGACGGGTGTGGTGTAGGAGAGGGGTTTTATGTGCAGACTTTAGAAAGCGCTCCAGAAGGTCTGCGGCCTCCCACAGTAAAGGCAGCTGGACCCAGAGTCCTGGAGATCCACTGGTCACCCCCCAAAAAACCCAACGGACTCATCACATCTTACTATATATACAGGTAACATGCAGACAGAAAACACACACACACACACACACACACACACACACACACACACACAGACACCAATGCTGGAAATAATTCAGGAATCATCACACAAAAAAAATACTTTTTTTGAAGTCACATTTCACCTTGTACCAAAAATAATGTAGTGAGTGGACTTCTGAAGGCTTCATACATCGGGCTGTTTTTGCCAGTTATTGATTTGCACATTAATATAATTTTTTTGCTGTTTTCCTCGTAATCAAATTCACATCGCAGAAATATTATTCTTGTATCGCTGACATTAGAACCAGAAACAAGAACCAGAACTAATATACGTTAATCAAACAATGTTCATACATATAATCTACATATTTACCTTTACATCATAGTGTTACATCTTCAAGCAAATGTCTGCCTACCAGTCTACGTACTTTGTGTGTGTGCATCCGCGAGTACGTATTAATGCATGCTGAAGGTCGTGGTCTGCTTGTTGACCAAAGACTGTGTGATCTGTATGCAGGGTCAGACCAGACTAAGCCCTTTAAGTCCTCAGGAAACACACATTAGCATAGCAGTGTGCGCACACACACGCATACACGCACGCACACTGACACACCTGGCGTGATTAGACTCAGGCAGACAGGGACTTGGATAAAATAGAAAAATCTCTCTCACAGTCTCACCTGAAACCTCACATAATCACAGACAAAGAGGCTTACCAAGACATCGGTGTGCTTGCATCAGCCGGGGACTTACTTGCACATGATGTTTCAGACGTGATGTTACATTTTTTATATAAATTCCAGACAAACCGTGTGTACTTATTTTCAAACTAAAGCTTACTAAAAGCCAGAAGAAAATACCTTTTATAACTTTTTGAATAATATTTGAAGTGTATTTTGAATTTATTTGTAGTACAGGTGCAAAAAATGTACGGTTTAATTTAAGAAATATTACATATATCAAGGACTGATTTTTATATACTAATAACAACGTTAGTGGTTTGAATTTAAGATAATTATAGTATTTATATTCATTAAAAGTCTCCCAAACTAAATTGAAGATGGTTTTATGAATGGCTGATCTAAATGTTTAATCTGTTATAGGCGTCCACTAGGAACCGAGGAGGCGCTGCTGGTTTTTATCTGGTCCAGTGGGCCGCTGGAGTTTTACGATGCCAGCCCTGCCCTGTGGCCTTTCAGCTACCTGCAGTATAGGGTTCGCTCACAGAACTCCAAAGGCTCAGTTCTGAGCCAGTGGGCTTTAGCGCAGACGTTACAGGCCGAGCCCCAAGATATGGCCTCTCCCACTGTCACACCCAGCGGTGAGTTCACCGGGACCCCTGGTTAGGTTACAATGCTCTTGTGTTGAATCACTGTAACAGTCCAGGGTGCTGTGCGCTTTCACAGGTGCATACTCGGCCCGTCTGAAGTGGAGCCAACCGGGGCGGCCCAACGGTCCCATTTCCCATTATAGACTGGTTTACGAGAAGCACCAACAAGACCCAACGCTCAACTCGACTGATGTTACTGCTCTCACTGTCGAGGTAAATGCACACGGCCGCACGGGGAATGCTGGGTGTGAGGACAGTCTACGCTTTGAGTGTGTGGTCAATAACTGCAATATACAGTATATATATATGAGGGTGTTTGCCAGAGAGGCTCCTGAGGACACACACACACTCACAACACGCACACACACACTGCTCCGTGGCCTGCTATTCTCCAGGGCCCCATCCTCAAATTAGTGCCAGGCCTTACTCTCCAAAACAGGGAGTTACGATAAGCAAGCCTCCTCAATCCAAAGACACAGACACACACACAGGCACGCGCACACACACACTTGCAGACTGTACGTACTGTATGTGTACACATACTACTGTTAACAGATGTCACCTCGTCTAAATACGAGTTGGCAGATCAATAAGGCCAAGTTCGGCCAAAGCTGCAATGGATATTTTCCAACAGTAGCGAGAATCCTTGTGTGTGTGTGTGTGTGTGTGTGTGTGTGTGTGCACGCAGAGAGAAGACATGAAGATACAAAAACGTGAAAAACATAGATATCCAAAGATTGAGACACTGGAGAAAGGGAAATAGAGAAAAACACATCAATATTCACACGCAGAAATGGGCAAAAGACAGAGAGAGATAATCAAGAACTTAAGAGAGATAAAAGAAAAGACACAATATAATTAGTGAGGCTGAAAGAGTGTAGCGGGGGGGGATGAAAAGACAAGTGAAGGAACAAGAACTGGGAGGGGGGGGCAGAGTGATAGATAGTGAAAGGAGGGAGGAGAGCGAAAGGGGGAGAAGAGGAAGAAGCATAGATCTATATTCTGTCCATACGAGTGGCCTCTTCTCCCTCAGTGACCTTTGGCTTGTCACTCATAATTAATACAAGATGTAAATGGAGACCTTTCACCTTCTCATTGATATGGGACACTTTGTGTTTGTGTGTGTGCGCGTGTGAGCTTGTGTATGCGTGAGAGGCTCATTGACGTGGCATAGACTTATTTTGGTGGTGGTCATTTGTCACACAGGTGCCTTTGCCATATGCGCTTCCTTGTTGAGGAATACACAAAGAAACAAAGTTCTTAACAAACTTGAATAATGCAAGCCTCTTAGGTTCCGTGTCTTGACTTAAAAGGTGAGCAAATTTTAGTTTTAAAATAGACAATCATTATTGTCGTTATATTATCTTTGAGGCAGGGAAAGGGCCATTATGAAACCATTAAAACCATTCAAATAAGTCCTTTTATTTTACAGCTTATTGTAGGTAATGATCGTAATGGACCAGCAACATATTACCTTTTTTCTTTTTTCTTTTTCATGTTCACAAATCAACAAATATTTTTTTGCTCCTAATTTCTTTATTCCTGAATGTATTGTTTGTGTGTGTGTCTTTGTCCATTTTGTGGGTGTGTATTTGTGTGTGTATTGATCTCAGGCAGGGCTGGGAACCCTGCTCTGTGCCAGCTTGGCTGATTAATGGGGTCGTCATGGCAATCGGACGGAATGAGGGTACGAAGCACAGGCGGCCTGCCTCACTAGCCCCCTACGTGCTGCCTGGCGCACACACAGACTCGCACATACACACACACACAAATTCACTCTCCATGCTGTACACCTTTCCGGCAGACATCATAGTCACTCACAGAATCCTGTCAAATTCTTTGACTTGCGTCCTGGTTGCCTTACTTTTGATCTATAATTTATAATTCTCTTTATTATTTTCTTCCTCTTAGTGTTCACTCTTTTAAACTTTTCTCTTTTTCTCTCACCTCCATCAAGCTCCTTTTTCATGCATTTTGCATTTTCCATCGAAGGCTCGGGATCATTTTCCCGTCCCGTTTTTATCTACCTACATCTCCTTCTACATCTCCCTTAATTTCCTCAGCTTCTCCTCTCCATGTGCTCCTTTCTCTTCATTTTCACCAACATGTTCTGCTCCTTCTGACTTAAACCCTCCTCAATTTCCTTTTCTTTTCCCTTCCACCTTTTGCTTTCCCTCCACGAGTCGCATTCCTCTCCTCTCTAGCATCTGTAGCTGCTCCTTTCTCCCCCCATCCACTTTTTAAATACTCCTGCCTCCCTGCCTGCCACCTCCCTCTTTCCCCTCTTTTAATCTTCTGTCCTTTCCTCCCTCCCTTGGCGCTTCCAGATGTTACACTGTGGCCCTTGGGATAACTGGTTAAGTTAGACCTTGTGTGTACATTTGTTTGTGTGTGTTACTCCGTGGTTGGATATGGTTGCATGTGTGCCTTTGTACATGCATAACATATTGCCATTCATGTGTGTCTGTGCAACAATGCGCGTGTGCTGTATTAATACATCCCATTGATCAGAGCAGGACCCCTGACAGTCATCATCCCTGAGAACCATCTGGCCGACGCCTGACGCTCCCTCACCCAAACACAAGCTGACACCCTATTAATCTGCTACCGCCATGCATACATACGCAAGTGTGTGTGTGTGTGTGTGTGTGTGTGTGTGCATGTGAATGTGTGTGACTGAATGAATCTGTGAGTGTGGAAGAGGTTATATATGCAGAGTACGCGTTAACATTTTTGCCTTCTCTGTGTTTCTGTGTTCGTGTATGTATGTATGTATGTGTGCGTACATGCTCCGACCCCAAACCGCGCACACACATACGTATGTGTACACACACCACTCCACCATCCGCCAACAACAGCCGGCGCTGAAGGGAGCTGAAGGGTGCTTGGAAATTAAGGTTATTACACAAATTGAGCCATATGGTCTAAATATTTCAGAGCTGAAATTTACTAGGCAATAAAAATGGCCCCTACCTCGGTAATGGTGTAAATTACAGCTTAACCACCAGCGCTAATGATGTCCTTCTGTACACCCCGTAACCAACCGTACATGAAGGACACATTGTTTAAAACATACCCCAGGAAGGAGGGAGGGAGAGAGGGAGAGAGAGAGAGAGAGAGACAGAGATGCCATGTTTACAATCCGATAGTTTACCATAAAGAGCCCGTCTGAGACTGCGGGACAGCGAGGGCCAACAGCCAAACTGTGTTTCACCGCCGACGTGAGGTTTCGTTGTCTGTGTGTTTGTGTCAGCTGGAACACACAGTTGAGCGATGAATAAAAGTATGGACATTTTATCGGATTCTATTGTGAGCTGGTCTGCGGGTGCATTAAATATCATTGCGTACAAAACAGTTGGAACACATTGTATGAATACAGCTGCAGAGTCCGGGCACACATTTATGCTGGCATGTGCCTCAGACTGACTCAGAGGTTTGCACCAATGGGTACGGTGAGAATGTGTTTGAATAGGATTCAGTTGTTCCTGTTCAATAGCAAGGCAAAAATGTGAGCATCACCAAAGGGACTGGGGATCGCTCAGCTGGCACGCTTCCAGGTTGACACACAAGTGAGTTGACCTGAAGTAGAGAAGTAGTTCAACATCTTGGGAAATATACTGAATGTGCTTTGGAGTTGAATGGAGAGATTGATTCATCTGTTGGACAGATATGAGATTGGAAAGCTGCTGTCCATCATCATAGTTTAGCTTAGTTTAGTTTATGGTATGGTCTAGAAGCAGCGGATTACCTCTCTCATGTTTAATCCCTACAAACCAGAAGTGACTATTTCTTGGTCTTCACTGATACACAATAGTGACAGTAAGATAATTTGAAAATGTTAAAACAAAAATAATCATTTGTGACTCAATTCATCATCAGTCTTGTTTCAAACCACATTCTGATATACAATACTATTGTATTTAAAAAATGTCTATGTAAATGGGAAAATAATGCTGTGTAATGTGTGAAAAACTCTGTAGTTCTTTAGTTATTTTTTCCATTTGTCGAAAAAGAGTAGACTTTCTGAGTGGGACACGGTAATGAAATCCGACAAACATTTATTCCCAGATCTTTCAAACTTTCTCAGCCACCATTTTTGTCACATCATCAAAATCTGGGGATAGTATAATATAAAGTTGTAAAAGATAAATATTGAAATATCAGTACTTTATATTTGAATTAGACTGACATGTTTTATCCACGTTGAATCTCTAAAACAAGTTGCGTTATGGGAAGAGGATTGGGAAGCTTTATCCCTTAGTTGCTTCACACACTCCCACTTGCCCTTGCTCTCAGAGACACCCTTTCACAAATGAGGGAGACAAAAGAATGGAGACAGGAGAGCAATGCAGAGTTGAGTGCAGATAGGGTGAGAGGCCTGGTTGAGAGGGGAGAAGATAGGTGGAGAGGGGAAGGAAGGGTTAGAGGAGAGACTAAGAAGACTTGGATGCAGAGTTCGCTGGGCCCCTCGGCCTATCAGACCCCTTAGTTCGAGGTCTCCAACTCTGATTGGAGGGCTCTTAACATTCTGCATAAACAGCCAAATAATCAGGCTGCAACACTCGCTCTTCCTATCACTTGAATCTTTCTCTCCTTCTCTTCATATTATTCAGAACTCGTTGTGAATAATGTTGGTTCTCCTTCCATCACAAAATTTCCATCCAGGGTTTCTCTACCGTTGTCACAAATTACAGTTTTTATGTTATTCCTACCCATCTTTACCCTCCTCCAGTCCGTCTTCAGCTCTCTCCCTCTTTCAAGTGATTTTTTTGTTGTTTATATTCTCTCTCTCTCTCTCTCTCTCTCTCTCTCTCTCTCTCTCTTTCTCAGTAATGACAGGTTGTGTTTTATTGTGTGCCTGTCTGTGAAGAGGCCACACCATCCAGTGTAGTGCTCTCCACTTGTCTTAATGGGTGTTTAGTGCAGCAACAGCGATGTGATGGCCACTTTAGAGGAATGCTGAGTGTGAGTGCTTATCAGAGTTTTGTATATTTGTGATGACTGAAGGAAATCGTGTGTGTGTGTGTGTGTGTGTGTGTGTGTGTGTGTGTGTAACTGAATGGTTGTCAAGTGTTTGTTTTGGAAGCGGGTTATACTCTTGACTGTAGTCTGGAAGAGGCTGTTATGTTCTGTTTATCTTTCATAAAAACCTAAAGTTACTGATCTGTGCAGTAATAGTAGTAACAAATAGCTTTTAAACGAATACATTGCAT